GAACTATTTAAAGTAAAGGTGGAATACAGAAAGTCTTCAGCAGAGAGATCCAGGTATAAGAAATACCAAAGCAATCAGAACATCTCAGGTGGCAATTTCTTTAACACCAACATAAAATATCACTTACAAATAACTAACCATCGTACACTAAACAACTCTCAAATATCACTGCTGTTTGATTTTTGTTTGTTTGTTTGTTCAAAGCCCATGAACTATTGCTGTAATGTGAACTGTACAGCAGGATGTGATTCTAGGTTACTGAAAGCAGCATCTAAAGGCTTCATTTTTTCACCTGTAAAATCTAAAGATTTTTTTTATAAGAGCTGAATCATTTAATAGATGCTTTAAAGTCTCTGGAAAAAAAAAAAAAAAGTTTATTAAAATCCACGTAGCATTTATTTTGTGGTTATCTGTGTGTGAGTTTCAAATTCAGTGTAATAGCTCTTGTCCTTCTGGCTTTCACAGTGAATCGAACACTTAACTCCCTTCAGTAATTTTGGAAATCTTAATTTGTAGTAATTATGGTAAGAGCCACTACTTGATAGAAAGAAAGAATAGTTAGGTAAGTTAAAGAAATGTATCTATATTCCTTTTAAAATAATGAGCACACACAAATAAAAGGGAAATTCTTGCCAGAATTCAACAACCCCCTTTTTCAATTTGCATATTAAATTGTACATCTACCAGTTCTGTTAATTCAGCAAAATAAGAATTTCTTCTATAAGTAATTACATTATTAGTCTACCTTGGCAGTAATGATCCTAAGGTGAAGGTAGCAAGAATCATATTTCTAGCAGTGTCTCCTTTTTAATAATTAGTTGTAAAATTCCATTGTACCTTTTCTCCTCTTGAGAACTTTTCTCTCATCTTCTGCACCAAGCCGTATTTAAACAAAAAGGCAGATTTCTGCTAAAAAGGCAGATTTCTCCAGATTATTTTTCTTAACACTTGTTCAGCATGTCCGAAGCCAGTATTCTCACACATTTTTCAGTTGCAAATTGCTTTATCAGACACTATTTTCATTTTCATTAAACTTTTCCGTACTATTTCATCTGTTCTGTGTAATATGGAAATAGAAATAATGCTCTTATTTACAGAATCACAGAATCATCTAGGTTGGAAGAGACCTCCAAAATCGCCTAGTCCAACCTCTGACCTAACACTAACAAGTTCTTCACAAAAAGCTTTAACCAAGGATAGCAAGGACACTGGGAATGCTACAACAAAACCATGACCAAAGAAACAAGAACAAGGAGCTACCTGTCCCTCTCCCCCTATGGCTCTCACAAAAATAATAGTTCTTCAAAATCTAACAAACATGGTTAACATACTACTTATAGAAGTTTTATCTTGGTTTTGCTTCCAGGTTTCTTTTGGCATTTATCAAATTAAAAATATTGCACTTTGTTAATATTAAAATATTCCCTGCTGTCTCCTTACCGCCCTTGAAAGAAAAAATCTTTTATTTATTTATTTATTTATTTTTATATCAGCCACATTTATCAATTAAAAAAAATCACAGCTATAAATTTACGTGATACATTTTTTAGCAAATCCTAGAAAGATGGAGCCAATATAATCTCTCAAAAGACCATCAGCTGTTGTTTATTGTGTATATTGACCAGAGGCTAGAAAAAGCAGTCCTTCATCATGGATCTTTTGTGTTACAACAGAAATAAAGTGTTCCCTTTGCACTTGCTTTTTTCATCACCTAGAAAGATGCTGCACTCATGTTCAGAAATGAACATGTAGAACCCAGAAAAGAAAAAGAAAAACAAACAAACAAACAAAAAAAAACAATAAACAAAAAATTGTTGAGGCTGCTCCACCGAATACAATGAGATGATGAAAATGAATTCCTTTTCATCCTGATGGTTTGATTTCTTACCACGTTGTCGCATTTTATGAGTCACTCCATGCTATACAAAGAAAAGGCTTGCCGCTATAATTTAGAATGTAAACTCATTTTTTATTTTAAAACAAAACAAAACAGAAACAAAGGTAGAGAGATCAGTGTCAACAGTACGTTATTATTTGTGTCTTCTCACCTGTCATTAATACTATTTATTTATTCTAGGTCATGCAGGCATGAAGCAGTAATTACTTGCTTTTGTTTAGACAAGTCATTCCATTTACAACTACAGCAATTAGAGATTTTTAAAGAGGAAATTTAATTATATAGCTTATAACTTTTCTCTTTTTAGTTCTAGAAATGTCATGCTCTTAGCTGCAGTTTTTACCTAACATGTAGTTTATTCAGTACGTACCAGGATGACATCATTTCTTGTTACCTCATATACAGACTCAAACACTGCTTTGTGCTATCAAGTCTTCTTTCCCCTTTTGAGTTCTTAGAAGTATTGAATTCAGGGAATAATTCCAATTTGATATATTTGAAGTTGTGGTGAGGTTGGAAATGTTTTTTATATATATGCACAAGTATCAATGTCAGACAAAGTAACATAATTTTTATAGTTTCCTATTCTTCTTGCCTTATTTTTTCTTTCCCTAAAGAAATTGAAGTAATATATTATGCTTACACTGTCCTAGGGAATATTAACTTTAAGGGTTGCACAGAAATTTGAGGGGAACAGCAAAGCGGACAGAAAAGTTATAGAATGGAAAATGGGAGATCACTTGTAAAAAGCAAGCCAGTATTAGAGAGAAAACTTAAATGGCTTCCCTGTTCTTCAGTGAGCAGTGTGGTCACACATTTGTCATTCAGTAGTCTAAAATAAACAGAATTGATAAGCAACACTGTGCATTACTAGCAGTACTTGCACAACATTGACTAGCTACGGGAATCATTTAATATAATCAGTCTTTTATTTTTTTTCCACAACACCCATAAGTTAAGTGTTTGCAAATGTTATCTTGGCAGTACCAGAAACAGATTCCCATTGACCTCAATATGTCACCAGAAAGGCTTTCTGGCAATTCTTTTGTTTCCCATATGGCATCTTCGTGTGTCAGAAAGGCAAGTGTTCTCTTATTTCTTCAGACAAGCAAAACACTCTTTTATTGTTACAAAATATTTATTCATGTCACAGTACTTTACAAAGTAGTATTTATTCTGCACCAAATAGCCTAAAGAAACAAACTTTCAGTTTGAAGAACTGTGTTTAGATTGAGAAGCTGAATTAGACAAGATCAACCTTATCCTGTCACATAATGTAGATGTTAATTGCATTTATTCAGTCAGATCATTAAAACATTGGAGAATCCTGCAGTCAGAATCTGCGAATTAGCATGGATGAGTACTACAAAGGAGATAGCAATTATATCAGAGATGTGTATATATATATATATATATATGGATTTTTGTTGTTGTTGTTTTTGTTTGTTTGTTTGTTTGTTTGTTTTGTTTTGTTTTGGTATATGTTTTGGAGTGTGCTTCGGATTCCTGTCGATGTGATCAGTGGTGTGACTCTAGGGAAATGCCAGAAAATGGGTATAAGGATGCTGCAGGTAAAGTCCCCTCTCCCACTTCTGCTCCCAGCTATGGCTAAGACCTGTGCAGCAATTACCTGCTCAGCATTGTCTTGATGATGAAGATCTATATTAATAATATTAATCAAATATGTGATTATATTAGTATTAAGGTAATAATATTACTAATAAAATTAATGTTCTTACACACTAACAGCTGCCACATTTGCTGATAGGGAGTCAATCTTACCACTGACTAATGATGGGTGAATTGTCCCCTGTCATAGACACATGCAGGGACAGGTTTCACAGGTGCCAAAGCATGTTCTGGGTATGACCGGTGCTGCTTGCTGGGCTAAAAGAGTTAAAACTGACACCAGCTTCCTCCTGGTTGGAACAAGTTTGCCAGAAGAATGAGAAGGCAAGAACAGTAGAAAATGTTCAGTTAAGGGAGAATTGTCAATGTGAACAGCATTAAGAAAAGTAAAATCCTGAAACCTTTCATTTGTACTTTTATTTGTACTCTTTGGAAATAGCAAGATCTCATTCTGCCATTTTAGAAACAGACTTCTATTTTTCTAATTTTGTGGTATTGTTTTTGTAAACAAAACATTAATTTTTAGGGAAAAAAAGGTAAAATGATTCTGAAGCATAATCTTTTGTACTCATATTTCACTCAAATATTTCTTATATTAATAACAAAAAATACCCTCCGTTCAATCCAAGCCATACTAAATGTTTCTGCATACTAAATGTTCTTGGACTGACCACTGCAGTTTTCCTGGTTCTACTTTTATGCATGTGCTAGACAAGAGTTAAGAAGTTGCTCCTATCTTTTGCTTACTGATGTAAATCAAGGGTACCTTTCATGAAGTCAAAGACATTGCTCTAGTTTATCTGAGCTAGATTTTCAGATACTAAATCTAAGTTTTGAGAAATAATTAGTAACATGCCTTTGGGAGAAGCCAGTCGTGATACTGTATTTGAATGGAATTTAAAGCTGTTAAATGCATATTATTATTGTATTTTTTGTTTTGCAGTCAGGTTGGTTGATAAAGTCTAACAGTTAGTTAAAATTTGGAAGGGGACCTCCCAAATGATATGGTAGTATCAAAGATGATTCAAAGCAAAGTTGTGGCATGTCAATGATCTAGTTAAATCACACAAGTATCAGAAGTTACTGAATATTTCTATTTAAATGGAAGCTGCTGAACACCACATCATTTGTGGGGAATACAAACTGTGTTTTTACAAGCATTGTTCTAGTCTGTCAGCTAAGAAATCCCTCTTCCTGTTGACTCCAATGTCTTTGTTGCAATATTTATAAACCTCCTCTCATGTGTCTTTTAAGAAAATGTGAATTAGCCAAATAATGAAGCTAAAATTACAATCTGTTTGATAGCTGCTTGAATAGAAAATCAAAAACTTGCTGCTTTCCAGCCTCATGCTGGAGACTGCCTTCTTTTACCAAAAGGTGCCCCTTTTATTGCTTGTAAAGATAAAGACTAATTAAATACTACACAGCCTTTCAGTAATTCAAAAGCTCCACTAATGATGTGTGCCCTCCTGTTGCAGGTGTTACCCGCAACCAGGTCTGAAGAATGAAGAGAGCCCTTTGGAAGAGCAGCATCTTGGCAGCATGTGGGGCAGGAGGTTTAGGTAGGAAACCTGGCCACTGGTAAAAGAGAGAGATTGGGGGGATTAGAATATCCCCCCATGATGAAGTCTAGGGATACAAGGGAGCAAAATTGTGAACTTCCATTTTTCCACCTGTTTGAGGTTGGTATTTCTGAGCACTTCCAAGTGGCTGCAATACCACTTTTTTGTTTGTTTGTTTGTTTGTTTTGTTTTGTTTTACTTAATTTTACATTTTGGAGACTAAGTATGATCAAGGTAATTCAAGCTCAGTGCTGGGTTTCTCTAAATGAAAGTGAAGGAGGGGTTAATACCTCATCCTAGGAGTTTGGAATGACATTTGAGCATGAAAAGCAAGATTCATTTAAATGTGAACCTTTTCAAATTATATTTTCTGTGAACTTGTGCCAACTCGATTAGAGAAACAGCTTTTGTACTGATCTGGTTAGTAAACTGCCTGTTTGTTTTAAATCTAATACAAATGCATAAATTTAGTGACATGCAGCTATTGGATATATTCATTTTCTTCAAGTATTGGTGATTCTGTCATTCTGACTGCTCTGGGAAATAATTTTAAGGAAGAAATAATGACCTCTACATAAGAACTCTTTGAAAAGGTTTCACACAAAAACCCTTACACACAATGTATACACATTGTATATGTAACAGAATTCATTTTTTGTGTGCTTTTTTTTTTTTTGTTTGTTTGTTTTTTGTTTGGTTGGTTGGTTGGTTTGGTTTTGGTTAAGGTTTATTTTTTTTAATATATTGAGACTACTAAAGAACAGTACTTTTGGGGCCTACAAGGGACTAAATATGGAATAATATGAAGTAGCCTGTTAACGAGAATCATAGTCACCACAAACATTCTGATATTTACATATATGAAAGAATTAATTCTGGCACTTGCTGATATCCCATCAATAAGGTGGACAGTCCCCATGATGTTCATCACCACCAGTATGAGTTATGTTCAGAGAGAGACTGGTAGCAGAGCAGCTTCTGACATCCGGATGTGATAAGGGGTCACCTAGTAGTGCCATGCCCGGTGACATGTCTATGTATTCACCACAGAAAGAAGTGACCTTGCTGCACAGTATTGTCTGGAAATAAAAAAGCTCAGGCTGTCATTCACATGGAAAAAAAAATGACTTTATGAAAAAGAAATCACAGGAACTTCTGTCTTGCCTTTAAAGCCTTTCTAAAGGAAGCAAAGGAATATTTTTTATAAACTACAGGCAGACCATGAGTTTGAAAAACTTCGTTGCTTCTCAGTAATAAATACATCAATAACATCTAATTAAATTGAGTTTAGTTATCTTACGCCCTTCCAGAGTATAAAGAATACTTATTAGCAATATTTGAGCTTCTGAATGCCCTGGGTCCTGAAAATCTTTTGTTTCCCTCTCTAGAGCTGGCAGGAATCAGTAGGAATTTTCTTCAAGAAAATTCTATACTCTTATATCATACATATGAGCTCCCTGAATGCTGAAATGTTTTTCCTTAAAAACCACTTAACTATTGCATCCGTATATCTGTGATATGAGATGATGATGGTCTTTGAGTAATTGTTGCATAGATACAACCATACTGTTACATAGATTGTACCAGCAAATGGGTGTAGAAATAGCTTTTCTGGAACTTTGTCAGCTAAATGCAAATATGGCAGAAAATCTTTTATCCAAAGAGCTAGGTTGATATTTATGTGAAGTGCTTAACTCCAATTTCCTTGTTCAGTATTTCTTTGCCAGAAATAAAGTGGATTCTATCAACAAGATGAAATATAAATCTTGAATGATTGAGACCTTTGGGAACTGGCTGGAATAATGGATTGAATGTCATCTCTGTATGCAAAGTTGACAGAATCTGTCAGTCTTTAGGAAAGCTTTGATTTGTGCATGTTTATATACCTGTGTGTCTAAGGTGACTGTACGGTGAGATTCCTTAGCTTAAATGACAGCATACTTGGATCATTAATCTGGTCCCTCATTCTTATGGTGTCTAACAGATTTCAAGGCGACTGAGGGAACAGTCATGTATTCCTTTCGTAAAGAGCTGAAATAGTTTAAATATCTTAAGAGCCAGTGCTCCCATGGTGGATGTGTTTACTTCCAGCAAATTGTCATCTGGGTGCATCTTCGTGCACTGCAGTGCTTGGTATTGGCATTTTGGCTTACACTTTATCGACCTAATTTGACTGCACCGCTGCAGATGAGATGCTTCCGACTTCTCATTTTGCCAGCTGAGTTTTGTGGGTTACTACTTCCAGCCTGGGGGTGGTGATGACCAGCTGTGAGTAACAGCACCATCAGCCACTCTTGTGTGCCTGAAAACAGCTGTCTGTGTCCTGAGTAAACACAGGAATCAGAGATACTGGGAGAAATGGAAAACTTCAGAGACTTTTAAGGAGAAAGGATTTTTCAGAAAAGTGTTCTTTCCACTAGGATGATCTCAGCTGAGAATCACCCCCACTCCCCAGATGAATGCATCCTGAAACAGAGAAGTGTGAATCACGGTGTTCATCTCAACACAAATCTTCATTCCCTCTGCCTAGTGGCAGTACTGCAAGGCTGCGATCTGCCCCATGAGTGAGCATTATCAGCAGGTAGCCTTACCAAGATGCACAGGTACCTCTACACGTGCATGCCTGTTGGAAGGTGAGCACCCTGAAGAGCACATGGCACAACCCATCATAGAGCTTCTCCCAATACCACAAAACCACTGGTTTCACTCTGGTTCTGAATGTAAATGAAGCAGAGAAGGAAGAGGAAAATTTCCCCACTCTATTCTGACAGGGGGCACTCTTACCTGGTAAAAACACTTTGTGTCTGGCCTCCTTGCATACCAAAACTCCTTCCCCTCCATCTTTAATCCCAACTGTGCCAGCTGACCTGAGCCAACAAGCTTTCCTTATTCCTTATTTTCTGATGACTATTCACTATTTGAACTCAGTCATTTGTTGTGTTATGTTAAAATGACAGATAGATCTAGGCATACAAAAAGCAGGTAAATATTTGTTGCTGCTCTCATAGTTAGCATTCAGGACCGGACTATTGCAAGCTTCACTGGAGCCATTGCAAGGGCTTTTCCGAGAACTAGTGAGATGGCTCCCTCCTTCAAAGGTGAACATCTGTAGGAGAAAATTCTCATTCCCCAAGTAAAATTAAATGTCTTAAAGAATGCAAGTAATTAGATTTTACATTATTAACCTTATCTTTTTCTCCAGTTTTATTTTACTGTAAAATCTTTCTGTAATTGGACACCTCAATATATTGTGGTCTATCATTCTCAAGTGAATTACTTAATTCATTGCAGCTTTTAACACTGAATTTCCTGCACAAAGAAGGTGTCAAATATATTGTCTTTTCTGTGTTATGTTATTTAGCTCTATGAATAAGTTGAAAGGTATAATGATCATCCTTGGTACCATAGAATAGATGAGAAGTTCTGGGAGGAAGAAAACAGAAAAGTTTGGTGTTGGTTTGTTTTTGCTTTTGTTTTTGTTTTTGCTTTTGTTTTGTTTGTTTGTTTTGCATTGATATCAGTTCATAATATATTGGTTCCTTTAATGAAAGTCCTCACATGCACCAGTGCCATTAAACTTCAGGCTTGTGTATATATGTATATGTACTATATATACTTTTATATACATACATTATATATATACACATTATATATGTATATGTATTTATAATTCCAGAGCACTTAAGTTGATTATTATAACGGAGTTTACTACCTGAACATTCACCCAGGAAGCTTGCCTATTTTCTAGGAAAAGCCTAAAGCACTCCTATGTCTCAGTTCAACAACTTTTACTATTGGTCATTTACTGGATAGTTTCCCACAGCTGGTAGGCAGCAAACCCAGACAGAACTCCATAAACATTTATAATTTATTTTAGTACAAAGTTAAGATTTTTTTTTAGTTTAAATTGCAGATAAGATTGATTTGAACTAACCTGACGAAATGTGCCACAAAGCGAATTATAGACATTTATCTCTTCAGCTTCAAAGCTCATGTGCGAAGAGTGAGCAGGTGGAAAAGAATTGCTCTTCTGGAATTAGTCCATTTCAATAAAGTGGCTGGATCTAAATAGTCCTGCAGGAACGTGCCAAGATCTCAGTCTCCTGGAAGGATGAGCTAGGTCATGTTCTCTCTTTAGCCCTTACCTTGGGTATGGCATCGAAACATGCTATGCATCCCTCATCTCAGACCTGCCTCCAAAAATTTAAGACATATTAAGACATTTAAGAACAGAAAGCAAACCAAAATGTTGTTGTATACAGTTTCCAAAATGGGTTGGTAATACATGTAAATTTTCATTTTTAATGTATATTTTAAATTTTAATTAGGAATACTAAAGAATGTTTCACTTGGGTTTAGTAGTCTAAGTTTCCTGTACTCAGGAATAAGTATTGTACCTCACTGCTTGTTTTTTTCTGCTTTTTTATTCAGTCTAGAAAACACATTTTTTGCTTTCTAACCACCTATTTTTAATGCTCAGTCTTTGATTTGCTAAAGAAAATGGCTGCATTCTCCCTGAATTTACTGAACCCTGCAGCCTTTTTAGGCTGAATGGAAACAATGAGATCTATTAGGAAAAGGAGGATTTTGTACATCTTTTTAACCATCTTAAGAAAATATTGGAAGAAAATAATCAGTTTGTAAATTAGAGCAAATGTTTGAAATGAGTCGTAACTTGGATTTCACTAGTACTCAGTTATGCATCGAAAAATCTAAAGTCAGTTAGATCTAAGAATCTAAAGCTAGGGTTTAAAACAGTAATTTACAGGAATAAGTTAACAATACAAAACATCTTACCTGAAGGATATCAAATGTCTAAAAATGCTCTTAGATAAATCAGAGAAATGACTGCTCTCTAACCTATCCTGTTGGTATTCTCAAAGCAGGTAATCATTATGTAATTCTTTTCTTGAGACAGGCAGCATCACCAACCACTTTTTTATGAATTTTATGACATGCTAATTTCCCATCTGTCCCAAGTAATACATGCACTGCACTTT